TTTACAAAGCTTCTCTTGCGCATGCAAATTTAATTTACGCTTACAGTCTTATGTACACTTCCACAAATATTACCCTGTGTATGCAAATATTTTTGACGTCATTCTACCTTCATAGAAGACACAACTCCCATGAGTCCACACTCAGTCACGACGTCATCAAACTACGCCTTTGTCTCTTTGTTTATTTTGAATACGCACCCTCCAGCGGTGAAAATTACATATTGTGTCTTTAATTTTTGTCTATTATTGAAACAGTGTTGCTGCTGGTGTTTGTATTTTTGCTCTCTTTCTCTCTCTCTCTCTATCTGTGTGTCTTGTGCTTGATAGGCTAATGATGATCAGCTGCACTCATCCACCTGTATGCGCTGTCCACACTCTGATTGGTGCGTGTTTGCTGGCTTTTAGTACAAAATAGCAGAGAGATCGTGCCGTGGAGGAAGGAGGGAGATATCGTGGCATTTGAGGTTGTTCCGCTCTCCAAGCCCATGAGTGCTTATTGTGCTTGTTGTGCTCTTTGTTGGGTTGTCACAATGTTTCCTGAGTTGATGATTTCATTAATAATCAGTTAAGCTTTTGGGTAAGGTAGGGTGGAGCATACCCATACGTTTTCTCCTGTTTGATGGTTAGTTAGGGAGTGAGGGAAGTTATATGTTGTTTTGTTTATTTTCTTTAATGTAGGTAATTTATTATTTCCCCCTTTTTAGGTAGAGGTATTTTTCTTTGTGATTTTATTTTGTTCGGGCCCTCCTCCCGAGGTATTGTTTCTTTGTTTGTATTTACTGTTATTTTATATTAATGTTATCCTTTTTGAATCCCTTGATTGAGTTAAAATTAAAAGGCACCCAAGCCGTTTTCAAACTCAAATCTGTGGTTGGTTGTGATTTTTGGGCCTAGAGAGCTGGAGATCCTCAAGGTCTCTCCACTATTTATTGTTCGTCGTTCCCTATTTACCCCTAGACCAAAGGGGGAGGACGTAACGGCATCCATCCATACTAAAAAGTGCCTCACACAGCTCCGGGGGTTGAACAAAGGCCTGTAGCGAATTGGTGGGTTTCTGTAAGAAAAATAACCATATTTAAAATGTAATAATCAATTGAATCTAGCTTGCGCTCACTGTTGTACACGGAAGCAGCTCCGGGCGGATGACGTCGGCGTTGTGATGCGCTGGTCAGATGTGACGAATGCGGAAGCGCAGGGGAGAGATCAAAACAAAACTACGGTCACGAATTAGAAGTACAAAACGAGGATTTGTAAAGAAGAATGTCGGAGGATTTCAATATATGCCAAGAGAAGGTTGGTTTTTCTTTGCTAAAGTAAGGAAACTTTGCTTCCTTTGCTCCTGTAAACAAAAGCTGGTTTTCACGAGACTCCCCGGCGCATGCGCAACGCCAACATCTTACATCATCCTCCCGGAGCTGCTTCCGTGTACAACTGTTGGCGCAAGCTAGATTACTTTTCTATATAAAATATCTATTATAACATCCCTCTACTGTATAAAACTATATACAATATGTACAATATTTTAACATCCCTAAGCCTGTGTTAGTCTAAGTAGAGGAATGTTATAATAAATATATTTAAAAAATTAATATTTATGTATTATATTTGTATTTATATATAAATAATATATATTTCTAATAATAAATATATATATTGTATACTTTTTCAATTTAAAATATTTATTATAACATTCACTTAGGCCTGATTACAGACTTAGGGATGTAAAAATAGTGTATATTGTAAATAGTTTTATACATTTATATTTAAAAATATAAATGTTTGTATATATTTACAATATAACTAAACGAAATACAATATTTTAACAGCCCTAAACCTGAATTATAGCCTCAGTAGAGGTGACTATTTTGTATCCTACGGACAACAGGGGGCAGTGCCTCTTTTTTTGTCGTTAGCTGTTTCCACAAGCATTTAGTAATGCATGGCATGCATAGCGAGATGAGGAAATAAGCTTAATAAATTGAAAACATAATTTTTCACTTTTCCAAAAATTTTTCAAAAATAATTATTTCAATTAATACCTCAAACCTCTTCTCCTCGCTTTCTCCAGTTCACTCCCATACATACATACACACGCAGGCACGCCAGCAAACAGTCGACAGCTTTTTAAAACCTATGAACAGCATGCTGCATTCACGCCATATCGTAATTCCCGTGATTCCGAGATGACAGCACGCGACGTTCTACTCGGAGCTGTCCACGGACTCGGAATTATGCTTTTCTATGGCAACACTATCAACGCCTAAACAGAGCCTGCGAGGCTCGTGGTACAAGTCGTAGCTCTCAGAAAACTCCCAGTTCACAAGTTGTAATTACGAGTTCTACGAGAAGGTGAACGCTTTTTACAAGTTGGAATCTCGGAATTACGGGAATCCCGATATGGCGTGAACGCACCTTTAGACAGCGGAGGCACACAGTGGTTTAACAACAGGCTGGCACTGTATTGAATCAGTGATGATTAATGAAAACTGCCGCCTGTTGTCAGTTCTCAGATGCACAAATAATAAAAAGGCCATCACATCCCTCAATGTCTCGAATTAATGGCTCTCTTGAACCGGCTCCTTATAAATGATTCATTATAACCATTTCGCACTTAAATTGTGACATGAAATTATGAACAAACAACAACACACACACAAAACGGCAGTGCTAACATTTAAAGAACAGAACACACAAAATGTCACACACTCATTAGTGATGGTTCAAACAATTCATCGTTCGAGCGAACTGACTAAAATAATTCGAACGTCCCGGAGCTCAGAAAGGTGTGTTCAAGTTCAAGTTCACGCGGATTGAAGGCGGAGTTAAAACACTTCAAACAAACCACTGCAGCGACGCCGCGCGCAGTGCTCGTGTTCACTTCCAATGCTTCCAACGGTGCAGTTTTGGGAAATAATTGAGAGGAATTGTCAGCAGCCTGAGACAGCAAGCCGCGTTCATTCATTGTGAGTTTGTATAAGTTTCTGTATTAAATGAGTGGTTGAACTGCAAGCCATGACAATACCAAACAACATCTTTCTGTCAAGCACGTCGCATGCATTAAAATTAACCACAGCATCAGTTCATTAACTTTGCACATCTCATAGTTTGTATAGTTAGTTGTTTTTAAAGAAGGATTATTTGATGAAAACTAGTTACATTCGGTGGCTGTAGTGCGAGAGAGCTGACTTGTATTTTGCGTGAGAGTGAAGGTTATTAAACCGTGAAAGGTTCATCGAAAGTAATTAAAGCATACTTTGTCATCAGTTTCTGGACTAATAATGCTTTCCAGCTTTTAACTTTTATGTGCCTTTCTGCTCATGTTCATTTATTTCACACTGATTGTTTTTTTTTTTTTTGCAACGCAGTTTAGTTCTGACAGTAGCCTATTTGAGTGTTTGGTAATTTAAACAAGAAAAGTTACATATAGCTAATCGAAGTTAAGGAGTTTGTTTTCCTAATTTCTCCTGTGCAAGTGATCAGCTCAACAGATTGTACCAAACACACCAGGGTTGGTCACCCACCCCATGTCCTGTGTCTTCTTATTTTTGCTGGGGCATGAGTTAAACAGCACTGCCCTTATGTTTAAGTAATATGATTCTGTCTAACTGAATATCAATGGCATCCCCACCCATGCCTGTATCACACCGCAGCTAACAAGCCTTTTCAGAATGAGGCTTTGTCTGGTCTTGCTATTCCACTAATTAGTTAGATGATTTGGGGCTCAGTCATTATTGTTATGTAATAGATGTGTTTGGAGGGTGCAAAAGACTGTGTATAGCAAGGTAAGCTTAACTTGAAATATGGATTTGTTTTTGCATGATTACCCTAAAATGTGTTTGTTTAGTTTTGTGAAACTGAAGCCACCTTTGAATGAGTGTCACATTGGTAACCGTGTGCTTGCAATAATAATAACACCACAGGCAGTGTCATCTGATACAGTTTCACTTGAAGTGGAGCAGTGAGAATAAGGACGTGTATGTCATTTCATGACACTGGGCATTATGAGTTGCATTTATGGGACCCCAAATACAGCTGTGCTGTAATGTCACTTATGTAAAGGGTCATTTATAGAATTAACATCATAGCCTTAGTTTGACTGAACTTAAGTACTTTTATTTGGTGAAAGCCTGTCAAAAACATTTCTAGGTGATTTTTCACCCAAAAATCAAAAGTAAAACAAACAAACAAAAACAAGAAATTATATTTCCATGAAGAATGAAGGCTGTTTTTGGACCAATGCATTTAATTTAATTTAATTCATTATTTTTTAATTTCATTAAAATTAAAATTATATTAAAACCAAACTAAAGGCAATCCTGAAAATACTAAATCTCAATATGCAATATATTATGTATGTTTATATGTCATTTGTTTATACATATATACACTAATTATGTACCTACTTGAATACACTAATTATTATGCACATACGTGAATGTGTGTTTGTGTGTGTGCAATTTCTTTATTTCCTTTAATTTGGGTTGAAACTATTTAATTTCTTTAAGTGCAGCTCCCCAGATTCACTTGTGCTTTGTTTAATCTTAGTGTCAGTTACCAGGCATGCGGTTTGGATTATAGAAACCATACAGGTGCAGTCTTAGTCTCAAATGCTTATTTAAGGGAATTATGGTAAATGAAGATGAAGTTTACGCATATGCACAATGCATAGTGCAAGTATTAGCTGACACAGAATGCTTTTTGCATGTCATCAATCTATCCTATTAATAGCATCAGATTCCACTCTGGTCTCTTCATTTATCTTGCCCTTTCACTTCTGTCAGTCAATCTGTGCACGTATGTAGAAAAAAGTACATGGACAGCTGGTAACAATGTCTGCATATTCCCAGTGCTGTATTTGCCCTTTTGATGTCAGTATTGGCAGCAGCAAGTGAGGCTGCTGTTTCCACATCTCTGACTGTTTTAGATGGTGAGTCTGAATCTCACCCAGAAACAACAGGTGTGTGTGTGTGTGTGTGTGTGCGTGCGTGCGTGCGTGCGTGCGTGCGTGTGTGCTGAATGAGTGTGACTGTATTCTGGAAGAATCAGGAGTGATTCAAGCAGTGCCCTCTAATGACCATTTAGTAATTTTCACGTTTAATAACAAGATCGAGTGTTCAGAAGAGTCCTTGACGGTTCCACTACCTGTTATACTTTCAAGTAACTCATTCAGAGTTCATATGAGCTTGCATTTGTCTTGATATCAGCATGTATATGTGCAAGAACAGCGTTTTTGAGACCTATTAACAAGCTTTTCAGAAGATATTTCTCTTCCTTAAAAAAAAAAACAGTGAGTCTACCTGGTTGGTCTCTAAAAAACAGAACAGCGTTACAAAACGTGCATTTAACAGGAAACAATACAGGTAAGGCAGCTTTAATTTTTTAATATGGTGTTTGCATACATTTTTTTTTTTAACTTGAAAACCAAAAATATATTATGAAAATACTTACATTTTTTAATATGGTGTTTGCATACATTTTGTTTATTTGACAACCAAAAATGTGTTTTATAAAAATACTTGACGTAACATTTTATTTTTTTAAACATTTTATTATTTTTGTCATTTTTGAGAACAACATAATAATAGATGATAAATATAAATGTAATATATCATATGTATATAAGTCTATGATAATTTTCTTATTGTCAATAATAATAGTTAATATTATATTTACTTTTTCATTTTATTATTATTCTTGTGAACAATAAATTGTTAATATAAATGTAATATATTACATTTAATATCATATGTTCATAACTTCATAATAATACTTATTGTCAATAACAACAACAATGATGTTAATAATTATCATGTTTACTTTTTAAATTATTATTATATTGAACAACAAAATTTCTAAATATAATTTCATATATAATATTAACAACAATAATAGTTATTATCATATTGTTATTAGTCAAACAGTAAAGGTCACAGTTAAAATTATTTAAATCTAATCACAATTAAAATACCATTTGAGTGTATTATAACCACTCCTGAATATACAGTAGCCAGTGTAGCATTTCAGTAATGATAATGATTATATCAAGTCATAAGCCCTCAGGCTGCCTGTGTGTCTGTGTTCATATGTGCATGTATTATGCACTTCCCTTTGAATCGTACTTCCGTCTTGATTCACTTAGTAACTTACTGTGCTGTATTCATTTATGAGACTTTATTGGTGCTGTGTGTGGGTTTGGATATGATTAGCCTAATCTCCCCAGGACACTTCCTCCTTTGCTTTCCTTCTTCAAAATTGGTACTTTATGCTGATGTTGTTTATCTGTTCATGAGCCCTTTCTCCCCCAAACTAACTTACAGTACCATCAAAATTATTAGTGTGATTAAGAGTCTGTTGATGGAGCTCTTTATGTTGTATCTCTGCAATGTAGTATTAGAGACCTCGCCTAGGATTGCGCCTCGCCGTTTTAATCTGTCCATAATAAAAGAAAGGGTCAGCCTTTGTGCCATATGAAACTGTATTGCTGTCTTTGTCACTTTTTCATATTTGCTAACTGATGCTGAATCAGTCATGTGAAGTTGTTTTCATTGCACAGTCTTCTGATCAATATCAAAACAGGCAACAATACAAGTTCAGGTTTTTTTTTTTTACTTTATCAGTGTGTCTCCATGAGCACAGGATGTGAAAATGTAAAATGTTGTGCTTACTGATTTAGAAAGAATGAGATCTGATTAATTTTTTTAGAAGTGTGCTGTTTATGATTACAATAATTAACAACCACATATAATTTTTTTTTTTTTCTTCATTTTAGTGGGAATGAGTGTGTGAGAGTGTCGAAACAGCAGTAATGGCATCAGGGGGAGAAAGCAGCGCTCCTGCAGAGGACGAGGGGGGTGTCCCACTGGACATTGATGATGTACACTTACTCTTGCAAGGTCAGTCTTCACTTCTTATAAGCTTTTTGGTCACTTTTTTACCTACTTCATCTTCATCTGAAAAAAAAAAAAAAAAGGACTTCATTCGATAAGTCTAAGGGGTCATTTAAAAATATGTCACACTTTTGTGGTCAAATTTGATATACCACAGGAAATTTAATGGGAAAGAACCTAACACTGACTAATTCTTTTAAATATGTGTTAAATAAAATCTATATAACATAATGTTGAATGAACTTACACAGAAATGGGGTGAGACTTTAAAACATTCAGATTGCAGATGATTAAAACAGGTACATAGAGAGTATATACAGTATACTTCAAAAGTTTAAAATCTGTAAGAATTGTGATGTTTTTTTAAGAATTTTTTTATGCTCAAGGCTGTATCAATTTGATCAAAAATGTTTTTTGTGAAATAATATACTTTAAAATATAATTAATTCAATCTAGTGAAGCATCATTACTCTAGTATTCAGTGTCACATGATCCTTCAGAAATCATTCTAATATGCTGATTTATAATGAATGTTGGAAACAGTTGTGCTGCTTAATATTTTTGGGGCCTGTGATACTTTTGTATCACAGGATTCTTTGATAAATAAAAAGTTAAAAAGAACAGTGTTTATGGAGTAATGGCTGCATCACAGTAATAAATTATTTTAAAGTATATTAAAATAGGAAACCTATATTAGAAATTGCAATATTTCACAATATTACTGTTTTTTTTTCTGTATTTTTGATCAGATAAATAAAGCCTTGATAAACATAAGAGACTCCATTAAAAAACATAAAAAATCTTACTGATCCCAAACTTTTGAATGGCAGTGTATGTATTAAACTTTGACCAACTTTAGTTTGACATAAAATCCAAAAAAAAGTTATCGCAAACAAAGCGGATGCATTGAACATTACCTTATTTTCATAACATGTTTTACCAGATGGCAGCAATCTGTCCCAAAATACAGTGTAAATTGTAGTATTTTCTTTATTTCAACTTGCTCTTTTTTTTAAGTTGAAATGTTCAACTTTTACTCTTGTGAAGTTGAAAATCAAAAATGTCCATGAACAGCCATGGTGTAAACATTTTTCGAAAAGCTTATGAGGTTTAATATAAAATTATACTTTGACTAGATTCAATTAAATGCACTTTTTGACTTGAATCGTAAAGAAATAATTAGAAATGAACGAGTCGTCATTTACTGAAAGGATCCACTGGAGTCTATACAATAGACACATAAATGCGCTTATCACCATCTGAGGCGGATTGTTTGCCGTTTTATTTGTTCTTCAGTCTCTTTCCCATTTGTCTCCTCTTTCGGAGGTTTAGGGCGGATTCCAGACGGCGAGAGGGAATCGTAAACCGTTGACTCACCAAGTTTTCAAACAAAAACATGTTTTGGGAGGGTGTGCTAGACGTTTATCGTAAAAGTAACTCGTTTTCCTTTTTCTAGAACCTGTTCATCACCAACCTGAGTAAACATGATCTTGAGTACACAGTTACTTTAACCTGCCAACTTTATAGTTATAGTGTCATTTCTGCACCATCAAACAATTAGCAAAAATAATGAATGTTTTCCCAAACACACTGCCCATCTGCTATTGGTCGGCCAAACAGATAATCCCGCCTAAAACACCTTGTGAGAGCAATAAGCTGTATAATTTCTTCTGTGATGTATTATTAATTTTTCGGAATGATTATTCATTTAACAGCTTTCTTCACTTCAGCTGTAACTGCTTTATAAAGCCAAATCCCCTTGAAGACCTTTGAAGCTGAGGTTGTTGGTGTCTCTTCTTTCATTTCCTCGGTGTCATGTGTCTCAGCGTTCCTGTCAGTTTAAACCATCGGTGTGTGTGCTGGACTCGCTTCAGACAGTCTTTGCTCACTGGTTTGCGGTTGCCAGGCAGCCGAATGTTTGCTGTGACGACAGGCCAGTCTTAAAGAGAGACATGTTTGAGTGACATCACATGTTTGTCTTTTGTGCAATGATGACACTTCTGTCATCTGGAGAAAGATTTGCACATGTTACTTTTAACAAGTTAGCTGTTGTAGTTAGACTAAATTTTATGAATGGAATAGAGTTCTGTGTTGGAATGTATATCTTTTTGATATCATATACACTGAAAAAAATGTTTCATTCATCCAATTAAAAACATTTAGGGTAATGATTCACATTTATATTTTTTAACTTGAGCCAATGAAAAATAAATAACTTGCCCTAAACAATATTTTCTATGTCTATGAAAACTATCGAAAGAACATGGTGTCTCTTAAAACCTTGTTTGAGGTGGAGGCCGTTGGCGACTCAGAGATGGGTAAGTCGAGCCAGGTTTCCAGTGGTCATGCCATGTTCTCGGCTTATAAATAGTTATGTATGAAGACATGCTGTGTTTTTGATGTGCTATAAACCAGAAAGCCCCAAAGCTGTTCTCTGGCAAGATGTGGACATTCTTTTGCATAGATGTATTCTCGTTGTGCTCATACTGTTTCCTACACATACATACACAGTTTTTGCTCCAGGAATAAATCCTATCTGATGTAATATTATTTTATTAACAGTGGAACAGGAGCAGATTCAGAAGAGGACATTCACAAACTGGATCAATGCACAGCTCTCCAAGGTAAACCCAAGAGCAACCCATAACTTACTGTAATGACTCCAACTATGTAGTCTAGAAGAGTTAGGGGTCAAACTGAGGCTGTAGCTGAATCGCTGACTCACTGGTCAGCAAGGAAGGTCTGTTCTGCTCCGTCTGCCTTTAAGCAACCAACACTTGGCCGCGTTTTAAACGCAAGCGCTCTTAAACTTCCTGCAAGTGATAACCTGTGTAGAGCTCCAGTGATCTCTCTGTATAGCTAGAGTGTTGCATCATTTTACATCAGATTAACCCTTTGATGCATGTAAAAATCACAAAATATCAATACTCATTTCCAAACTACTTTTATTTTGAGAGACTGTCACATCAGTCTACTCCAAAATGATAATAAATATTCCAAAGGTACTTTGTGCATCACCACTGTTGTCAGTCCATTTGCATTTATAAATAAAAATGAAATATCATATAAAAAGAGCAGTCATACTGAATGAATTATGATTTAAATATCCACCATTTGCAATTAAAATGTATTTAAATAAAAGATACATCAAATAAATTGAATTTAATTGTATTTTTAATGGAACAGATGGTCTTACCTTTAACCTTTAGACAAAATATTATAAAGGTTTGTGTACCTGTATGTGCTTTTTGTTGAGTATTATATATGATAAATCAGGCTTTATGGCCTTTAAAAGAATAGTTGACCCAAAAATGAAAATCTTGTCGTCATTTACTCACCCTCGTGTCGTTTCAAACCTGTATGAGCTTCTTTCTTATGTTGAACATAAAAGAAGATATTTTGAAGAATGCTGGTAATCAAACAGTTGATGGTCCCCCATTGACTTCCATAGTACTTCTTTCCCTACCTATGAAAGTCAATGGAGACCGTTTCGAAATTCTTCAAAATATCGATGTGTTCAACATAAGAAAGAAACTCCTAGATGTTTGGAATGACATGAGGGTGAGCAAATGATGACAAAATCAACATTTTTGGGTGAAATATGCCTTTATATATGGAGCTTATACTCAAGACTCAGAGGGAAAAGAAACTCCACAATTTTATTCAGAGGCCCATACTGAGCAAAAATATGCAATTTAGTGCAATTGCTGATATTTATATGACAAAAGAATGATAAACTTTTGAACTTCTTATAAACGTATAAAATGTTGATCATTTAGAGGCCTTAACAATTTTCGATCAAATGATACAGTAGGCTTTAGGGTTAATAATAATTAATAAATGAATAATATATTCCAATATATTGTTCTATATTTTTCTGCTTTTTTGTGTTTTGTTTTAATCCATGCTTTGTTTATTTCATGGTTTATTTGTACTTCTGCCAGCATAGCTTGACATCAGGAATGCTCAGTGTATTGACCTGTGAACACCTTTAACACGTTCAGATAGAATACTGATGTGTGTTTCAGAGGAGCCATCCAGCTGTTGTCCAGGATCTGTTCTCAGATCTTCGAGATGGGACTCGACTGCTTGACCTACTGGAGGTGATGAGTGGCCAGCGCATGGTGAGTGCTGAATATCACCGTCATACCACTGGATTCACAGAGATTCAACCAAAAAAGTATTTGTTTATACTGAATCATTGAAATGTTTAAAAATGCTGCTTACTACTGAGTTTGTTTGTTTCTCTGTAGAAGCGTGAGCGGGGTCATGGTGTGTTTCAGCAGAGAGGCAACGTCGAGACCGCTTTGAACTTCTTGAAGAATAAATCAGTAAGATAGTTTTTGGGATTCTCATAAGACTGATGATGATTTTCCATCTGTTAGGATATTAAGATTTATATACAAATGACATAAACAACTGTTTACGTTCTCTCAGATCAAGCTGGTGAACATAAACATCCCAGACATCATAGAGGGGAAACCTTCCATCATTCTGGGCCTGATATGGACCATCATTCTGCACTGTCATGTGAGTATAACAGTGAAGACACCATGGGCCAGTTGCATAAACTTGGCCTCTATGTTGTCTTAAGAACTAGTCTGACCAACTAGCAGTTAGCCAAGGGGTAATCATTCTTATTTTTTTTTATTCAATTTACACTAATCTACATTTTTATGTAACTGAATTGAAAAAAATTAGAGAGAAAAAATTTAAGAAAAAAATTTGCTGACTAACTTTTAAGACTAGGCTTACCCTTTTATGCACCTGGCCCAATGTGTTTTTACAAAAACTAGCATATCATATACAGTATACTTGCATCTTTCTTTGCCATGAGCTGTTTTTTTGTTTGTTTGTTTGTCATTGTTTACTTCAAGACCGTTAGCATTGTAGCTCAGAGTGGGCCTGTACTTTTTGAGATGTGAGACTCTCTTATTTCTTCCAGAAGAGAAAAGAATATCAAAATAACAATGCACACAGGAAGCATATAGTATTACAGAAGATTCTTTTATGTCAGAGAACATGGGTTGAATGAGTTCAGTGGTTCTGTTTAGTCATATAAGTCTTATGCTAAAATGTATGCCATTATTACTGTTCAAAAGTTTGGGGTCAGATTGATTGTTTGATTTGATTGATTGATTGATTTATATTTATATTTATATGTTTTTGAAATAAGTATCTTTATGTTCCCAAAGACTGCATTATTTGTTAAGGAATACAGTATAAACAGTAATATTTTGAAATATTATTACAATTTTAAATAACTGATTTGTATTCTAATATATTTGAAAATATATTAGAATTTAAAATGTATATAAAAAAAAATCTTTGATGATAGATAGCTAGATAGATATAATATAATATATGTACAGTATATAACCCATGTATGTCCTCTTGTGAATGTATGAACTGACATCTGTATTAAACATGCTCACTTCTCCTCATTACTACAGATAGAGGAGCTAGCCAGCACTCTCTCTTATGGATCCCGTTCATCCTCCCTGGACTCTCTGTCCAGTCTGGATTCTGTTCCTGGATCTCCAGGCAGTAGTCCTGTTCCTCGAGGAGCATCACCGCTCCACACGCGCTTCCGTCTGTCTGCTAAGAAGGCTTTGCTCCTGTGGGTTCGGGACCAGTGCCAGAAGTGAGCTTCATCTAGCAAATGCTTTCATGCACTGTGAATGTTTGGTCAAACTGTTTAGTCTGTTTAATTTCCACACCAGTTGTTCCTCTAAAATGATTGTTTTCTTTCTCTAGAGTTGGTTGCTCAGCCAGTGTGAGGGACTTTAAGTCCAGCTGGAGGAGTGGTGAGGTGTTTCTGGCCATTCTCTGCTCCCTTAGACCTGATCTGGTGGACCTCTCTCAAGCGCAGACCAGCAGCCACTGGGAAAACCTGGAGAGGGCATTTCACCTCGCTGAGAAGGAGCTCGGAATTCCCAGACTGCTCGAGCCAGAAGGTAAAAGCTATTAGCAGCATTATCCATTATCTGTTATTTATACATAGCGCTAATTTTTAACAAAGAAATAAAAACGGTTAACTCTAATACAGTGGTTCTTAACTAGTTGGGCCTCAGCAAACATCCAAGGTGGCCTTAAGATGATTTAATATTTAAAACACAACTACAAAACAAGATATTTCTTATGTTATTAATTTACACCCTCAACAGCTGTCTTGAAAAACCTGGATTTATATGGTAACGAATTTTTAAAATGTGATTTCTAGAAAATGTACAATTTCTGTACAATGCAATGTGTTTTTTAAGGTTATTGAAGGTTTACGTACATTTAAATTCTCTTTCCTCTCAGACATTGATGTCAGTAACCCTGATGAGAAGTCTATCATGACATACATTGCTCAGTTCCTGCAGTACTCCAATGATCTGCCTGTAGCTGATGACGATTTTGAGGTAAGACCATCTCCAACTGAATCTCCCATCTAGATCTCTGCTTTTGTTTGTCTGCCTTTTTTTCATTCTTACCTTCTTTCTCTTTCTAACCCCCTTTCCCACATATGGCCCTTCAACTTTGCTTTCTCCTACTCTCTGTTGCCCCCTCCTGGTTGGATGCAGCTTCAAACTCTGCTCTTTCCCACATGCCTTTCTCCTGTCAACCTCCCTACATACTTCACTCCTGCTGTGCTGGCCTCACCAATCCACCAGGTACAGACGTCACAGAGCACTTGTGAATTCCTCCACAGTTTTCCTCTATCAAAATATCATTCCAGCATCAGCCTCTACTTGTTTCAACATGCTTTCTGATTTTACAAACAATCTCGAATTCGGTTCTATGTTTCCTGCCCTGCCCTTAGGCTTCGCCCAGTCAGAAAGCCAGAGAGATGAAATGCTGGCTAGAGCGAGCCTATCAGGAGTTACTGGAGGCGTGGAATTCCACAGAGGGGAAGGGATATGCAGAGAGGTATCAGGTATGCTGAATGTAAAATTATCCCTTCCCTAATATGTAACATGCATCTTATGACAAGCCCTGAATGTGTGTCTATGTTTTTATCCAAGGCATTTCAGAACTTTGTGGGGACTTATTATGACCAACGACGTCCAGTTATTCCACTTCTCAGTGGAATGAGACGTTGCGCTAAACCAAGTGAGGAGCAGATGGCACTGAGAAAAGCATGGGACACCATGGAGGAGAGGGTGAATTCTGCTTATTAAATATGTCACCAAATACAGATTGAAATTAGGCAGTTCTGATAGTCTTGGGAATGGACTGGAAATTCTAAACAAATCACACCAGTATCGTTTTTTATATCAAAGGTGTTCATAAAGTTAAAGCTGTCATAGAAAAACTTTATATCAGAATAATTTCTGAATGTTATTATTTGTTAAAACATAATAAACCCAGAAACAACCTTATAGCAGTAAAACATCCAACTATTATTTGCTATAAAAAACATAAATATAAAAAAAAATAACAATCTAAATAATTCAACTAGACATTAAAATAATTTTTTAAATAAATTTAAACTCTAAATAAATTAAATAAACATAACATACAGTAGTCTAGCTTTCTAATAAACCTGGCATTGTGTACTATGAATATTTTTAGCTCTGAAGAAGGGTATCAGGTATTTTGAATGTAAAGTCATAAATAATGCTTATGTTGCTCCATTGCAAGTCATTTCAGATAAAAGCATCTGCTAAATGCATAAACATAAATGTAAATTCAGTTCAATTAAAGATTCAAATTTAAAATTCTGTAACATGTAATTAAAAATAAATATTTTTATATATTTCTTATACAGTATATTCTTAAAGAAATATTTTTCTTTCTGACATAAAAAATGTACGAAAAATAAAATGCGACGGGATCAGTAAAAATACTTGCAGGTCACATACTGGACTAACAGGAAAAAGTATTAGTATAAGTAATACAAGTACTTTTCAAATAATTAAGTGACAAAAAAAAATCTTAGATTATTTTGTACACTACTTCTCCCCAGTTACAAGAGTATAGAACAGAGCTTGATGTTGGTTTGCCAGCCCCTCTGAACACACTGGGCCGGTGGCTCCAGCATATGGAGGCTGTGCTATCTGAAGACAGCGGGAGCGCTGAAGATCATGCACTTGCTTGCAGAGATGCCAGACTCAAGCATGAACAGCTGAAGGTCGGTGTGCAGACAGGTATTATCATGCTTTAATGTGTATTTTTGAATTATGTGCATATCTTTGTTTGCTCTTCATGTTTCCTTAGGTTTTGGTTGAGGACTTAAGCCAGCACTTGAACACCCTTCATCACTACAATATCACAGATGATGAAGTGCCGGTCGAGAAGCTGGAGGAGATCAAGAGACGGTTGGAAAACAAAATCTATTCGGTGCTTCCTGCTGAAAAGACCAGCATCTGTAGTGTTTAGAACATCAGATGCTGGTATGTACATTAGGCATCTAAAGTAGTAACAAGACAGACCAGTTTGCTTTTTAAAGATGGTCTTTTCAGCAGGGCCGAACATTTCAGTTTCTCTTAATGTTGTCTTCATCAAGATATCCAGGTTCCTTGCTAATGTTTCTCATTCTCCTTGATAGTTTCACCAGTGCCAGAGTGACAGCCAAGTACCACGGCATCAAGCTACAATACAGAGAGCAGATGCACCATGTCTATGACCTGCTGGGACATCTGAAGTCTAAGCTGATCTTGTGGAGAGGGCCTTACGGCTCCCAGGAGTCTGTTCAGTCTCTGCTACAAGATTGGCATGTATGTGGCCCTATTCATCAGTCATTGTCAATTTGCCATTGCCGTTTTTTTAGAATCTCAGTTTTCGATTTAGGCTAGGTTTTGATTCGAGTAAAACAAAGTCTGTGGTAAACATTACTTCAAGACTTTCACAGTTTGTTCTTCAACATAAATTGTGTGCATTCAGCTCTCAAAAGTGAATTTTGAAAAAGTTTACTGTTGAGGACTGCAACTACATGAGAACTTGCTTGCCTTTTTTAACTGTTTGATGACAATTTCTGCATAAAGTAGTGAAGCCATATCTAAACAGGCTTCGAACAATAAAGAATTGCAGAGATGACATACTTTTGCTGGCCAAACCTGAAATAAACATCACACTGGTTCCCTTGACAGAAAGCCATTAGGATTTTTCAGTTGGCTTTTGGATTATTGCAGAACATAAACTCATTCTTACAAATTTGTCAATTTTACACATTCTGTTCACTATGATAATCTTTACAAACGAACAAAACTTTTGTTCATTATGAGACCTAAATACAGTACAATCGCTAGAAGTAAAAAGCTGCAACTTTCATTTTAAAAGATTAAATAATTAAAAATCGAATTAATTGGTTCATTTAAAAAATGAATTTAAAATATACAAAATGGAAAGTTTGTGTTAGAATAGTTTGCAAGAGCATAAGCATAAACACAACAAGTCTATAAAAGTGGACTGTTGAGTAGTTTAATGTCTCTGACAACCTAAAAACATAAACACTTAAATTAATTGTAAACAATGCTTATTTGCCATTTAGGACACTGTTGACAAGCAAGGTCTGGTGTGGATGTTGAAGGAAGCACTTAATAAGCTGAAGGACACAGCAGTCAGCTATACCAACAAAGCAGCTCTGGGTAAGTCTATATTGTTGGCAGTTCTGTTATACTTTGGTTTTTATGAAAATTAGTGCTTTTTCCTGTAACTTTTACCTGATTTACCCTCTCTCCTTTGTTTCTTTTCCAGCAGACGACTCGCCTGTGGTTAACAGGTGGGTAAAAGAGGCAGATAGTGAGACGGGAGTCAGTACAGAAGCTGCAGAAGCAGTAAGATCCACCATGGAGCGTGTTCTGGCTGCATGGGAGTCCTACAAAGACTGCCTGTATCTATTACAGGTCTGGCTGGGGCAGGAGAAAAAATCAGAGGCTCAAGAGGTACTATACAGCATTTGTCATTAAAACACACGATACAAAGTATACAGTGACCCAAAAAGTGTTTGAACACCTAAGATGCACTTGAAAAGTATGAATGTCATTTAGTTATCTTTGTTGAGTTGTTTGGTAAGTTCAAGTCATGAGGTGAGGGCATGATGTTTGTACTGTATGTGGTTGCTTTTTTCAGAGGTTCATTTGTCAATTGTCTTGTGATCTCTTTCATAATACAGCACAAGCATTTTTCCTCCAGCCTGAATGAGTGGAGATCACGTCAAGCCCAGCTGAATGAGGTGGGAAACTTTCTCATTGAGATGAGTGACGCCTCCACCAGCCACTCTCTGACTGAAGAGCTCCGCAAACTGAACATGCAGTGGGCTGACTTCATAAAAAGGACCAAGTTTGTGAGTTTGTAGAGATAGAACACTAGTTTTCAGCAGGGTCCAAAATTAACACTTACCAAATGCCAAATTGCAAGTAAGATTTGTCTTTTTTTGAAGAAATAAAGCAATTTCTAGTAACTTTAAAAGAAGCTGCACCTTATTACTATACGTTTGAATTTTAATCTGAGTGATTCAAAAAAAAAAAAGAGAGAAAACCACAAGCAATATCTCTCATAATTTGAATTTTGGTAAACATTTTCAGTGGAAATTGTTCTATCCGTCTATTTAGGATGCCTGTTATAAAACTGACACATGTAATGTCACACATAATATTTTTCACATTACACCACCAATTGCAGTATATAATTTGAGTATGAGAACAAAATATTTTTGTACTGGCAACAGAAAACGTGATTCAGGTGTTTCACACAAAATATTCAAGGAAAAAGCTAAATATATCCCATTGTTAAAGACAGAAATAATGCAAAATAAAGTTTCATAGCTGGTAAGAAATATTTATGGCTGGTGCATTTGCTCAATTGATTCAAAGAGTTTATTTTGGATCCTGGTTATTTGTCAATTTCAACTTGTTCTGCTGGATTGAATAAAGAGTTTTGCCTTTAAACTGCCAAGACCCAGCCTTTTTCGATTTCGATTTTTCACTTTCTTTGAGTGATACACCGATAAGCTGGTGCTTCAGCCCATTGTGTTTCAAAACCACAGAAGCATTCTGTTTCATCATCTGTGCTTACTGTTCATCAAAGCATGTGATTGCTCTTGTTCTTTGTCTTTTAACATTCTACACCCTTGAAAAGATTGTGATTGTTGATTTAAAAAAAAAAAAAGATGTTACTGTTTAACAATAAAGTGCTTATTCTGTTGTAAATGGCATGTTTTCAGGCAGTGGCCCCTCAGCCCATCTCTGCAGTCCCAGGTGTCCAAGCTTCCCTGATGAGGGAAGCCAGCTGGGTGCTTAGAGAGACAGTTGAGGTGTTATCTGGACCTCTACGTATTTACAGAAAGAAACTCCAGGTATACTGATCTTTCTGTCCTAGCTGTAGTACTTCATACTGTTTGTATTGTTATATTAGATGTTTCTTCATTGTTTTATATGCCTTTCTTAATGTTTTATTTTTTTTTTGCCTTGTCTTAGCTGTTTCTGAGAATCATTTTCTTCTCCACTCTCTTGTCAAGGTTGTTTATGCTTGTCTTTTTTTTTTTTTTTCTCAGGGCATAACTAAGAAGATGTCTGAGTTCAATCTGAACTCTTTGTCTCCATCTCCAGACTACAAAGAGGAAACTCTTCAGAAATTCAGACAAACTATTCCGGAGGTCAGGCAATATTTAGGTTAAACGTGTAGATGTGAGAGACAGCTCACCCAAAAATGAAACAAATTTTTTTTTTCATTATTTACTTGCTCTCAGTTATCCTGTGGAACACACAAATACAATTTTGAAGAATCTCCATGAGTCATTGAGTTTGTGAGTAAACAAATCAGTCTTTTGAGTCAGTTCTTTCCAGTGATCTGGTTCATCAAACTGATTTGTTTGTATTTGTATATATCCATTTATTTTAAATAGGGCTGTCACAATCATATTTTTACTTAACTGAATTATTTTACTGAATTATGGCTAAAAGAATTCACAATAACAATATTATTGCAAAGTCTACTGACATTTTATGAATAATGTGACAAAATTAAATTCTGCCAAAATTAAATAATGCTATCAGTCAAATTTATCTTTAAAATTTATTTTGTACTTTCACGAAAAAGGTGTATTGGGAGACAGAGATAGTATTTGTAACAATAACTTTACAAAAGTGTGCAAAAACAACTGTTGATCGTCACTTCTTGCAGGATTGGGGTCTTACACCCACCCAACTTTTTTACAGAACCAAAAACTCTTACACTGGGAATCTTTATTCTGGTAGACTGTCGCTTTTTCATTTTTCATCTACAAGATTTTGTGTGCAGTAGTAGCTACATAATGTGCCAACATCTTTTGTTTGCATTTTATGACAGGAGGCAAACAGATTTAAGGTGCAGTACTGCCACCTATGTTGGAGAGTCTACCAACTCTCTAAACACTCTGTTTCTCTAATGAGAATAATTGATTTAACTAGGAACTGAACAAATCTGTGGACATGTTTCTTGGCAGACACTTGAGACTTTGACCCGGGTGGATCAGGTGTGCGAGAGACTCCAGAAAGCCGCATCTCTGCTCGAGGGCAGGCTGGCTGAGCTTGAAAACTGGAGCACGGAAGCCCAAGAGGTCTGCCACCACCTAAAAGAAAGGCAGCATAGGGGCCACTGGGGGCCACATTCCAGGGCTAAAGTGAGTACAATTAACTAAGTTATTGAGTTCATTTGGTTGATTAAAACAGCGCTTTCACATTGTTGTCTCTTTCGATTCCCATTGCAGGCACTGATCTCCAGAGGTCTACAGTTGGAAGGACAGGTGGTGACAGAAGGTGAGGACCTGCAGGTGCTTGTGACATCTGTGCAAAAGAACTCCTCCCTTCCTTACCTCAGCACATCGGCAATACAAGACCGACTGAAACAGACGGTCTCACACTGTCAGGTGAATTTCATTGCAGGCCAGTATCGGTTAAGGAATGCTTAAAATCATGATGTTGTAACTTCTCACACCCTTCTGTATGTCCGTCAGGAGGTTACTGAGATGCTCAGTTCTCATGGAGTGAAGCGTGAAGGACAGCCTGTAGGTGCACAGCCTGCTTCCAAGGTTTTTGTGCAGGCCCATTCTCAGCCTGAATCCCAAACTAGAATCATTCAACACCATCAGGATCAGACGTTCTTCCAAAGCAGCAAACTTTCTCTAGAGATCCCAGCAGAACCTCAAAACCAAGAACTCCATTCTTCTCAGCTGCAGTCACAATTGGAAACCACCAGTGGCATACAGCCCCAGTTTCTCCCCCAGGTTCATGAAAAATCTCCAAAAGCCCAAAGCAAAACTATATGCCAAGTACAGCATGCAGAGCTCAAACAGCCTTTGCTGTCATCTGTTGTTAGCAGGAAGGCTCAGTTGAAACCCCAAACTGACGTTCAACTGATCTCTGTAGACTCCAGCCTAACCAATCGCTTTGGACCATCAGACCTTCAAGCTGCCTCAGTAAATTCAAGGCAAAACAGTGGCTTTGGACATTTACAGGTTATCTCTGTAGACCCAAACCAATCCAGTGACTTTGGACCATCAGAGCAACAGGTTCTTTCTGCCAACTCAAGCCAAACCAGTGGTTTTACACCATTAGACTCTCTCCAAGTTATATCTGTAGACTCGGGCGAAACCAGGGGCTTTGGACCATCAGAGCTTCAGGTTATCTCTGTAGACTCAAGCCAGAGCAGTGGCATTGAACATTCAAACCCTCTACAGTCTTTCTCTTCAACTGCGTCTAGCACAAGCATGTTGCTTACATCGGTTACCATGACTCAACTAAGAATGCCAGTCGAGCAGCATCTCGATTCACCACCAAATTGGCAACCACAAACCTCCTTGGTGACCCCACACCAAAGACAAAAGGTTCTGGCCAAAAGTCACAGTTTTCCAAAACCCCATGAGCCATCACAAACTCTGCCGGTTACCTCACTTGCATCCAGCCCAAGCACTTTGCATACACCGGAAACAGTGACTCAACAAAGAACGCCTATCGAACAGAACCTTGGTTCACCACCGAAAAGGCAACCTCAGACCTCTGTGACAACCCAACACCAAAGACAAAGGGTTCTATCCAAAAGTCACAGCTTTCCACAGCCATCAGAGGCTCCAGGTGTTCTCCATGTCCCAGTACAGAATGAGGTGTATGCCAGAGCTCAGGCTTTGGCCAGGAGCAGACTGGATAAAGCAAAACAGCACCTGCATGAACACATACAGGATGTCATCACAGTGATCAGCACCAGAGACAGATCTAAAAAACAAGCCAAGAAAAAACAAGTAAGGCCATTTCAAAATGTGGTGAGTTTTCAATCTAATAATTATTTAATCAAATAATGGTTTAAAAAACATATGGTTGGTCAAAACACATGCACAGAAGCTGTTAATGACTGCTGATTTCTTTTTGTTTTATAGGCAGTGTCACGTCTTCTCAGGCCTTCAGTGTTGGAGGCATTTCTAGAAGCTGTGAAGGGAATGGGTGATTTCTGCTCCGATGCCCAGCTCAGAGACATGGACCTCTTCTCTCAGTCAGTCAGAGCCCAATGGGAGGTAAGAAAGAGATCATGGTCCTTCTTCCTTCTTTCACTCAACAGAAGTCTCTCCGCAGAGTTTTGCACCATTTGAAGTAAAAAAATAGATTTAGAATAGAAATAGTTTGTTTATTCCTACGTAGAGAGAGTTGCAGTAGTCAAGACGGGTAGAGATAAAGGCATGCATTACCTTTTCAAAGTCTTTGCAAGAGAGCCAAGGCTTTTGCCAAAAGCCTTAGATGGTAGAAGCTAGATTTTACAACCAAGTTTATCTGTTTATCAAACTTAAGGGAACTATCAAATAGCACACCCAGGTTTTTTACACCCGGTTTATGGAAGCAAGAGAACTGCTCCAAATTGAGATTCTGAGTATCATACCCATCAGAAGGACTAAATACAACAATCTCTGTTTTGGATTCATTTAAATTAAAAAAAAATCAATGACATCCAACGTTTTAAATCATTTAAGCAATCCAATAGAGGTTTTTGGGCATTGGAATCGTTCGCTTTCAATGGCATATATAATTGCGTGTCATCTGCAAAACAATGGAAAGAAACACCATGTTTCCTAAAAACATGGTCCTTATGTGACCTTGTCCCAGCATTAATGATTAAATCATAGCCTCTTTTGATGGATCTACTACTGTATATATAACACCCTGTCCTGTTATTTAGGCAGTGTAATTCTGTGTGTGTGCAGGTAACACATTCCTTAATCTACATGCCTCTGCATGTGAACATAACTGCATTAAGTCCAAATTAGTCTCTTCTTTGCTCAGTACTTGTAACGTTTACTCGGTTTTACTTTTTTATCAGTTTATGAAGATTATTCCTGTCCATCAAGTCTCTGAATGCTATTAAACCTTATCCAGTAGTTTTTATTTAAACCTCAGTTTTATCATTTGATAATTGTTAAATCATCAACAGTTGATTTTGTTGTAAATTTGATCATTTATTGACTGCATGCATGTTTTGACAGGTTGATATAGACGGTTACTTGTTTTCTTTTCAGCTATATAATCATATTTTGCATGCATATCTCTCTTATCACTACCAGTTAGCCAAGTTAGCAAGCCTCATTACCTGTAATGGGAACCCATTAGCATAAATCTTGATGCTTATCCCCAAACCACAATTGTAATTAATTTTTTTTGTGGTAGTCAAATTTTATGGTTCGATATGGTTCGTTATATCATTATTGTCAAAGAGTTTGGAATCAGTTTGTTTTGGGTTTAAACCACAGGTATGTGCCACAGCAGCTGAGCGTTATGTGCATCTGGAAGCCTTGAGAAAAATTGCAGAGAGTCTGCAGCCCACAGAGAGTGTTCTTCTCCGCACCACCCATCTGAGAACAGACACAGAGAGGGTGGAGAACATTCAACGCCACACAGACTCCACAAGTGACTTGGCACCATGCCAGGATGGGTACATAAGAAACGTTGGAAATGTTGGGGTTACATAATGGAAATGTGTTATATTGAATTAATAATATATATTCTGATACAGTATGTGTTTTAGAAATAAAAATGAAAAGTAAAAAAAAAAACACTTTATTTTATGATCATTTTAATGCTCTAAGACCTGTCTGTCACATGTACCAACAGTGTTTTGTTTTTGTTGTTGTTATTGTTTTTTTAACTAACTTATAGTACACTACTGTTCAAAAGACTGAGGTCAGAAAAAATGCTTTTATTAAGCAAGAATACATTAAATGGATTTAAAGTGGCAGCAAATACATGGATAATAGTAGAAAAAAATCTATTTCAAATAAATGGTGTTTTAAGTAGTACAACTTTTTCTGTATTGACAATAACAATTTTTCTACAGCACCAAATCAGTATATTTGAATGATTTTTGAAGGATTGTATTAGAAATCAGACAAGAGTTATTTTAAATTGTAATAATACTTCACAATATTACTGTTTTACTGTATTTTTGATCAGTGCAGTCTTAGTGAGCATAAGATAATTTTTTCAAAAAATTTAAAATATTAACAACTCCAAATTTAAAATATTATTACATGTCTTTTTCAAACTCTGGCTTTCCTTATAAACAGACTAAATTAACTACAGTGGTCTCTTATATATTTGTGTTTGTGTACAGTACACACCCCACAGTCACAGTATATACACAAACAGCTTTCGTAAGTGTTAGGTTTAGTATATAGTAATTATAGTTAGCTTTATCTAAATGTCTGTGGTTCTGTGTATCATTAACATAACTAAGTAAACGTGCACGTGTGTTCACAGCAGGGGGGGAGCAGTTAAGGATTGTGTCCTGCTGAGAAAGACTGCACTGGTGGATGACCTGAGCCGCGTCCACTCACAGGTACACGTGATCATGTGCTGTGTGCACGATGTGAATGTTTTACCTCTTTTTGGTCAGTGCAGTATATTTTTAAGAGTATTTTTTCATTATTCTTTCTCAGTCTCTCACACCAGCGTGACTTTACACTGGCAGGTACTTTACTTGAGCATCTGTGAGCTCTATGCCTGCCCAGTGTTAACATGGCACGTTTTCTTGGCATGGTCAAGCTTGCTTGTAGCCAAACATGGAGATAAACCTTATGAGAATTCTGAGCTCTGATTGGATGTTGCTGACCTTCTTAAGCACATGGACAGCTCAGAGGAGTTAATCTGCTGAGATTGGCTAGGGCTGCTGAAGAGTGTATTCGCTTGATTTGGGGTCGTTTGACCCCTTGTAATGGTCGTTCTCTCATAGGCTGTTGTCCAGACCAACATCGTGGAGAGAAAACAGATACCAGAGAGGACCGTCATCCATCCCTGTTCGGCACAGGAACCTCAGAGCAGGTAAACATTTTAGATACAATTTACCTTCAAGAAATGGATATATATCCGTGTTCTGTCAATACTATATAAGGATGTAACTGGCTTTCCTAAAAATCAATTTTAGGACTTTTCTATATGCAATTTATATGCTGCTACCTTCTAAAATTCTCAAAATGAAATAAATAAATACATTTAAATTTTATTCATTATTTATTTAATAGTTGAAATCTAAAAATTCATCTTTATAAGCATTTTATGTGCACATTTGTTTCAGCTACAGTGCTGCACTGTCAGTCCTCCAGCAGCAACTGCTTAACAACAGTCAGCAACTGGAATCAGAGTTTCCCATCAGCAATGCCAGTATCTCTGCTGACTCACTGAGGACTCAACTCCAGAACATACTGGTTAGTCTCCTTCACCACTTTCCTGCATTTTGGGTGTGTTTTGTATACAAACAGCTGTGTGCTCATTTAGGCTCTTAAGGACCGGACGGAGGCTCTGTGGCGTGAGTTTGAGCTTCAGTGTTCCCAAAGCTCTCAGCACATGGAAGATGGCTGTAACAAGGAGCAGGAGAGAGCTCAGCTCATTCAACAGTGGAGGGAGCAACAGATGTGCATTCAGGCCAGGTGAGACACATGTAGGCAATCCAGAATGGGACAAAGTCTGTGCATAAGGAAAAATGTTTTAATATAAACATTTGTCGTTCATTTCTGAAAAGTATCTAGGGCTGGGCGATATAGCTAAAAAATATATCAACGATATATGTTTCATATCGTTGCGGTATCGATAATTATTGAGATTTTTTATAACCTTTTTTAAAACAGAGCAATAGAATTTTTTTTTTTAATTTAACCACTGTATTTTTAATTTGCCCATTTTATTAAGACAAACAACAAATATATATAGGCATATATATTATTTTTTAACAGTCAAACACAAAATAAAATTGAAACATATCTAATTTCTTATGTTTTATATGCAGATTAAATAAGTCTTAAAGGGGTCATATGATGCGATTTCAATTTTTCCTTTCCCTTTGGAGTGTTACAAGCTCTTGGTGCATAAAGAAGATCTGTAAAGTTGCAAAGACTAAAGTCTCAAATCCAAAGAGATATTCTATATAAAAGTTAAGAGTCAGCCACGCCTACCTAAAATGGCTCGTTCTAACACGCCCCCACATATCTACCTCACTATGTGGGAAGATTTGCATAACGCCGCCCAAATGTTCACGCAAAGAAAGAAGGCGTAACTTTTATTCTCGCAGTAGTATTGTTGTTGCCGCCGCCATGTCGTGAAGGCGCTGTGTGTTTCGTTGTGAAAGCGAAACTACTTTGTTTGGCCTTCCAAAAGAGGACGATATCAAATATGCCCGAGTTGTCCTTGACTGGTAGCAATGGTTTTTAAAACGATTCACAAAACTCATCTGAATGATTCCTTTCTGAATCTAGCACTGGAGTTCAGCTGAATGGGAAGATTATCAGTGCATAATAATGTACATAAAGTCGATTGGACCACTTTTATGAAACATTTGCATAGGGCTGGGCGATATAGCTAAAAAATATATCAACGATACATGTTTCATATCGTTCGGTATCGATCATTATTGACATTTTTTATAACCTTTTTTAAAACAGAGCAATAGAAAAAAAAAATTTGATGTAACCACTGTATTTTTCATTTGCCCACTTTATTAAGACAAACAACAAATATATATATATATATATATATATACATATATATATAATTTTTTAAGTCAAACACAAAATAACATTTGAACATATCTCCTTTCTTATGTTTTATATGCAGATTAAACAAGTCTTAAGGAAACTTTTGACTTGTTTCCCGAGGCCACAGGAGGGCGCAATGAGCAAAATAATGCAGCGCATTAAACTGTCAATTCAAATAACTGTCTATAAAAATGTGCATAACGTCTAAAGTAATGTGTATATAAAACAAATATAATTTTGTAAACCACATAAACAATTATGAACAAAACAGCATCATGTGTTTATGCATTGCTTAGCCTAATTCAAAGAGTCAAATCACCGATCACACAGATTGCATTTAAAAACAAATGAGACGCAGTGAAATGAAATAAACCTTCACAAATTCACGTCGCATTTTCTAAACGTCAAAACTGTTTTAACTTTGCATGACTTTCTTTGCATCTCTTGCATGAGACGCGAGTGCAGCAGTCATATTTGTCCGTGTAAAAATGTGCTGAATATGCGCAGGCACAGCACTCAATTCAGCATGTGTTTGTGTGAGCTGTCTGCATCAGTACGTGCCTATATCGTGCACTATATCGAACATTTTTTATATCGTTATCAATGAAGGTGTACCGTAGATAAATATTGATACCATTTTATCGCCCAGGCCTAACAGTATCTATGAAAAAGTTTACGGTAAATAAATAAAAATGAACTATTTTGTCAAACTCAATTGTAATCAATTCTCAGGCCTCCCATGTGGAGCTCTATTTTTGTGGTCTTGTCATTCGAAAGCAGGTTCAAATCTGTCACTTATAAGGTTCCATGACCATGTTGCAAGGGAGCTTGCTAGGTTTTGGAGCAGAGCTACTGTTAGCCATAAGTGTTTAAGTGGCACAATTATAATGTTATTTTATATATTGCTCAGGGTAAAGTCCCTTGAAACTGCGGTGGAGCTGCTGGAGTCAGCGAACATTCAGATTGGACTGATTTCTGATCAGATCAAACAGATCAGTCAGAAACCTCTAAATATCAGAAACGTTGCCATTGCTGATCCCAAAAATCTACATGAAGAATTAAAGGTACATTATCCTCCAAATTAATCTTTGTACTTGTAGATACTTGTAGATCTAAAGGTTTTTCACACCTCACAATCACTAATCGGACAACTGACACGAAATGTTTTTCTTTTCAAATGTCCAGCTTGTGCATATTTTCCAGAGTTTGTTGTGTATTTTAGAACCTTTCACATATCCTGATTTTTTTTTGACGTTTTGTAGAACATCTGTTCACAGGTGAAAAAGGTCTAAAATGCTGGGCTTTCCTTTTGATAACTTTACCTTTGAGAAATATTTGCTTCCTTATTCAAAGCATACATTCAAATATTTGCATAATGTACCTTACATTTGCATGTTCAAACTGACCTCTTTGTTCTTTTTTCAGCGTCTAGATAAAAGTATCGAGAAAGAGCTGTTTCTGCTTAATAAGAGTGGCGGTTCAGTTAGTGACGCTGCTGATCTGAGTCACATTGAGCTCCAAGCTCATCTTCCCCTTCAGCAAACTCTCCACGACCTCACAAAATGCTTAGACCAGCAAAGACAATGTCTGAGAAAGAGTGAATTGGCCCTGATGGGCCTCGTGAACCTCTTATCACATCTCCAGCAGGTGAATGCCGACCTCAAAGCAGCTCACAGCACATCAAATCGCAGTTTAGTCTCCATCCGGCAAAGCCTTCAGCAGGCCAGGGAAGAATCGGTTCAGATAGACCTTATGCTGGATGATGCTGGCATGAGAATAACTCTGGATGACAAACCAGGCAGCTGTCATGAGATGGTGTCAGCTCTGACACTGCGTGCCGAAGAGGTCGAGACCAGACTGGCTGTAGGGCTGAAGCAAACTGACAGAGGAGGGAAAGGAAGAGCAGAGGGAGAACAGAGAGACCGAGTGTTCGGTAGGAAGAGGATGGGCCTGCAGGTCGCCCTGAGGGAGGTGCTGACGGCACTCGAAAAACATGGCCTGAAGGAGCCCACAGTTCCTGCACTACAGCACAGGTCAGCAGACTTTAAAACAGGACTGCTTATGTTTTTTTTTCTCTTTGTTTTGTATACAATATTTGGAATGCTAACTTAACCAAAACCAAAACTGTTAAAGTAATATTTATTAAAATAACAGTTGCAATATGCAATAAAAAAATCAACTTAATAAAACAGGATTTTTCCTCTTGTTATGCATACAATAAATTAAATGTGCTTTAGAAATCATTTAATTTTATATTGTATTTTGCAGTTTTTTAAATGAACATTATTAGTACCTTTTTATTTAATTTAATCATAATTTAATTTAGTTTGCAAGTTATATTAATTAAAGTAACAATTGTAATATACAATAAATTAAAATACAATAAAAAATTAGGGCTGCTTTTTTCTGTTTTGCATACAATATTTCTAAAGCAAGTTTAATTTAACTATTTAATTTAATTTACACAAAAATAAAAAAGTTATGTCAAAAAAGATAGTTATGTCAATTAAAATAACTTGTTTATATA